TAGCAATAAAAAGGAATATGATTTATTGCTATTCTCACCACTGAGAAAAACACTAGGAATTGCCAATCAGTTGTAGCTTAGAGGTGTTTGATGGCTGTATTAAAATAGCTGATTGGGAAAGTAACAGGGACATGCGTTGAGGTCAGTGGCAGGTGATGGATTAGATCTCCTGTTCTATTTTTCTTTTTTTATTATCTTTTTATTGAAAATTTATATAATACAAAACAAGAGAAGAAAAGATAAAAAAAAAACACATATGCAATACATAGTGCGATTTGCCACGGAAGCTAACAAGTTGACAACAAGCGCTGTATGGGAAATGGAATATTGATACTTGTCATCTGGAAGACTAATGTTAAGTTTTTAATGCTTTTTGGGAACTCTGTTAGGGCTTGTTCACACCAAATGCAGACCAGATCTGCATAGGTTTCTGCACACACAGTGCAGTGTGTTATACCACATTTTTTTGCCTCGTTTTTGATGCGTTCCGGGCTGTTTTTGGTTTAAAAAAAAGAAGTTTAAAATGGGCTTTCAGTGCGTGCTAAGGCGTTTGCATGCGTTTTTGATGCGTTTGCATGCGTTCCAGAGCGTTCCGGAGCAGGTAAAATAGGGCTTGCTGCAGTTTTTTTTACATGCTCTGGAACTGAGCGCTGCGGTGTGAACTAGAGCCCAAAATATCATTGGAATACATTGGACGCAGTTTTGATCCGGTCTGTAACTGCTCTGCTCCTGGAACGCGCTTGGTGTGAACAAGCCCTTAGTCCCTGTTCACACTGTAACAAATTCTGAACGCGTGTCAAATGTGCACAAAAGTGTGCGCTTTGACATGTGTTCACTAAACGTGCACAAACGCGGAAAGTGCTTGCGGTGCCATTACTAGTTAATGGCACCCCAAATGCGGCAGAGCATACATAGTGTGTTCCTATGCGTTCAAGTGCGTGAGAACATACACAAGCGCGTGTGGGGGGAAAATGCGGAACACGTCGCAAAATTTGCTGCATGCACTACTTCCCTGCATTTGGTGCGCGTCCAGGAGCCAACTCAAATCAATGAGGACATTTGCAAAACACACACAAGGGTGCCAACTGTCAAACTCTAATCTGCACTGATAAATAAAAAAGGTTTTCATTATCTGCTATGGATAACATCATCTCTTTTCTCCGATCTCTGATTCTCCTTTTTACATCTTTACTTTGTTATTAAAATGTATTTCTTTCCTTTAATTGTTAGATCAGATTTTTCTACACGATCGATTAGATTCCTTTAGCTTTTTTTTGTTTTCTGGAACTCCAGGAATGTGATCAGAGCTTCTGGGAAGATACACAGTAAATGTGACACATTCCTCGCAGATTATGTGCAAAATGTCCCAAACAGGTGCATGGTGTTACACAGCAAGAAAGGATGGAAGTGCATTCTTTTCTATTAGTGGAATGGCCGTAGAGCTAAAATTGTCAGGAGATCGTATATTAGGTTTACGTCAGCTTAATCTCTCACTGAAACAGAATAATGCCGACCCTGGGGGAAGAATTCAGACATTGTTTCAATTTTTATTGTATCATTGTGGTTAGTTCTTTTTCAATAGAGATTTGGCAAAGTAGTTAATAATTACAGTTCTCATTTATTGATGTTTCTTCGCTTGCTTATGTAAATTGAATTATTTTTTTATTGTTCCATATAAAGAAAATATGTCATTAGGGAAACATAGATCCTGCTATTGCTGATCTTCTTCTGAAGATGCCAGCTGCCTGGCTGTCATGCTGACCTTCTAGCTTCAATACATAGGGGTTAATTTGCCAAAGGCAAATAGGCTCACTGTATCCTTTGCAAGTGAATTTGCACAAGGGAGGGGAAGGTTCCCTTAGCTTAGTGAATATGGTCAACTTCATTTTGTAAGCTCCTCAAGGGCAGGGACTGGTGTGAATGTGCAACTATGTAGAGCGCTGCATACATTGTAGGCACTATATAATTACCAGTAATAGATTACATAAATAAATACCTAATCATATTGTATGGGAAATATAAAATAAAAACAAAAACAGTATTTTTACTTGCAAATGATTGGATAATGAAGATCAGCAAAGGTTCGTCTCATTCACTAAACTAAGGGAAACTTCCCCTACAAAGTGTGGATTCTCATGCAAAGTGAGAAGCCTATTTGCCTTTAGTAAATCAATCCCAATAAGTCACGGATCTGCAGCAAATATTTAGTATGTAGGACTTCTGACATTAATTATACTTTCTTGATTTGCATACATTATTATTATAATTATTATTCTTCAGGATTTATATAGCACAGTTTGCGCAGCGTTTTACAATATAAGGAAGACATTACAATTACAATACATTTCAAGACAAGATGGTAAGGAGGACATGCTCCATGTCAATGACTTCAAGTCCAAGTATCGAAGCCTGAGGATAGCCAGATAGCTAGCATTTAGCAGCACTCACCAAGACTCATTGCCATTGAATAACAGTTTCTCATATACCTACAATCACCAAGTCATAAAAAGATCAAATGGTTTACAAACTATTTATAAACTTTAAGTTTTTTTAAACATGATTGTTATGCTCCAGAATTTTCTACAATTGTATATTCCATGTTAATTAAAATCTTGCTTTAGATTGTATGAAAAGACATTTGCACCCTTAGGCCCCTTTCACATGCTTGGGTTTTATGTTGCGTGTTGACATGTATTGTAGAAAGGTGTGAAGCCGACCTCGAAGTGAATTTGCCCATGCAGGACAAAGCAACGGGTTCACTGTAATGCCAACCCCTGCAGCTGCTTGTACCTACCTTGCTGCCATTGGTCCATTGCATCTCTATTCACCTGTGGGAGGGAGGAGAAAAAGCCGTGTGTAAGTCAGGAAAGATCATCAGCACTCAACTCATCTGAGTATAGTGTCACTTGAATATTGAAGCTCGTCACTTGAAAAAGTGCATGAGCTTCTTTTGGGGCAGAGTTGTGCGTTTTGGCCCCAATAGACTTTAACAAGAGTTCCTGAAAAATGCACTGTCTAGTGGCAATGAAGTTGTGGGAATGGCACTCGCCTAGCTTTATGCTGGACGGAAGGTTTATACATCAGAACTTATGTGTACCTCAGGGGGCGTTAGAACTGGTTACAGAGGTACTTTATGGCTTCCATCTCCTGCACAGCAGAACACAACTGGGCTGGAAGGCCTGAGCTGGGACTGGACAGCACTCATGAACCAATCATGGCCCCGTTGCTTACAAAAAATATGCTTACAGGAGGAGAATACACAGGAATGACCTTATCAGTGTTCTCCTGCTTCTTCATTGTCCAATCACAAGATAGGCTGGGCTGAACCAGAATGCATTGCCTAATCTGCAGAGAGGTCTAGGACCTGGCTGTGCTGTCTGGCATGGCTGCCTATATCACAAGACTGGCAGAGAAGACTGGAAGTGCAAATCACATGTGAAAGAGTTCACGTGTATGTATTTCACCTGTGTGTTCATCCTTGGGAAAATGTTTATATACAGTTAATATGTACAGTCTATAATGGTGCACATCATGGACTGATTCATATAAAGTGACCCATTTAAAGATATAACAACATTTATGAAGGTGTACATTCTCTACTTTAAAGCAGTATAAAAACACAAGATTAGCAAACTGAATCTTACAGAGAGATGTCAGACTATCAATTAGTCAGTGATATAAATAAGCAGCAACAACGAATGCAAAAAAACAAACCTGAGTCTCCCTGTTTACTATAAAGTAAGTCTTAAGTCATGTCAGATATGCTTCTCCAAACATCTGATGGGCTAGCCTGCAGCTTCTTGTCAAATTATTACGTGCTATATTTTTTTGAAGTGAGAATGCTGAAGGAGCCTGCAGTGGGTTGAAAATTATATTTGGCTAGTATGTGCACAGCTTCAGCGACTGGTGTAGCTAGAACACAAACTTACCAGCAACAAGGTAGTAGGTGGCCAGGTATCTGTGAGAGATGTGCTGGCCGGGAGACTTGCACTATGTCCTCTATATACAACCCAGAACTACTTCTTGATTTAAGTTTGCCTAAAAGCTCATCAAAAACCCCCAAATATTCCAGTAATGGGACATGCCAGGTCCCAGATCTGTTTTTCTTTTTTGCTCAGTGGGGTGGAATGTTATGGTCTGCAGTGTCCATGCCGCTTCCTGTTTGCATGAATGCTGCCCATTGACTGTTTGAAGGATCCACAATATAGTCTTCACACAGGGTCCTGAAGCCTTCAGGATCAACGACACATAAAGAGCAGACTCAAGACTGGTCTGCTGGATCAATAAGAAGAAATAATACCATCTTTAGATCACCAGTTTTCAGTACTAGTAAAGGCATCAAGCCTCGAGATCATGTGGCAGAGAACTCAGGTAGGTTTTTGTGGGTTTTTTAGGATTTTTCTGTGGACAAATGGGACTTAGTTTTTTTTAATTGATACCAATAGATCCAATTAAAACACACAATTTTCTACAATGTGTACAATTTACATATTATTTTATAATATGTAATATACAGTATATGTTACAATTTATATAAATTACATTGTATTTGTTTGCATTTCTTGGAATTAAATGTAATATGAAAATTGTTAGCTTCTAATGCAGAAAATTTTTTAGGAAGTGAAACTCCCATACTGATCAAAGTGGAAGACTCTCTCAGCACGGTGTCTGATATGTACCCCGTGGGGAATTTATAGACGTGTGTCATTCCTTGTTGTGATCTCTTTTTCCGACAAATATTTCAGCAATTTTCAGATACTGGAATGCTCTCGGTGGTAAGAATAGCCACAATGACTGGGATGACTTGGGTTGTCTTTTGTCCTGCAGCAGATGTCAAAAGCCTCAGAGGTAAGAGGTACAGGCACAGCTCGTTTGTCCCTTACATCCACAACAGTTTACATTTTTACTGAGTGGTGACAATATTTTACGGAATATAACTTTTGCGCCTATTTTTTTTTACTCTTAGCCGTTTGCAGGAGATTGCATCCACATATGTGACAATGGAAATTTTTGACTCGCTGGGATATGTGATCATCACTTTCAGCTATAATGTTACTGTAACCGGTATGTATGCCAAAATATGAAATGATTGTTATTTCTCATTTCTTCATATATATTTTTTAATTGAAATGCTAGAATGGAATTTATGATTGCAACAGGGAATCTCCAAGCAACTGAATATATACTGGCATTTGGAAGTTATGCTTTGTGCTTGCAATTTTCATTGCTTGAGTCATTTTGAGTACACTGCAGTTTACTTTACACCTTTGTAAGTTCCTATTAAATGGAACCTGTCGCTAAAGACGGCTCTTGGACATGCAACACACTAATAAAATAAAAATAGTTCCACTGTCCACAATTCCATTTTCTATATCCCAATTAATACCACAATGTGATAATAAATTTACTCTGGTCTTGGCTATTCTGAATACTTATTGTCAGTGCCCAGACACATAACTGAGTGAAGAAGAGCTCATCACATTAGCAGCTTTCTGTTAGAAATTTGTTGGAAGAGGTTTGTCTACGATACGTGTTGAGTGTTGGTTATATTTTGTCACTGACCCTTTTCTCTCTGGGATTCTATTCTTCAATTTGGTGATGCAAAAAGTGTGTATACTTCACTCTTCACATATGGCATTATGCGCATCCTATTATACATCAAGGGACCTTTCTTAAGTCTACTATTATGATTATAATTCCTTTCCACCACTCAATATAGGTCTGCTATATAGAAATATTCTAACTTTGGGTATGAGTTCTTATACTTATGGGTTACTCATATTTTTATTTTTAAATGTTTTTTATTTTTGTAATGTATCTATTACTGGACACATTTTGATTTTACTTATGGATCTATTGTTGTATGATGATCAGAGTAGTTTTGATTTATTTACTATTTTATCTATATGAAATATTGTATAATAATGTATTTTGCTATGAACTCTTGGGTGATGGTATCTTACTTACGTAGGTTTTGAGATATTGGGTTGGGTTAATTTGCTTTTATATCACTGATTAAATTAACAGAGAATGTTTATGTATCCCAGGCTCTACCCCATAAGGCATTATTTATCCCCATGGGGATTATATGTAACATTTTGGATTTCTCTATACACTTTGTTTTAGTGTCTCTGTCATTCTTTGGTCTGTGTAGGGTTATTCTTTCAGTGTTTTGTAGTAGTTATAAATCTTTAGTCAGCACCAGGAGTGGTGCCTGGCTATTGTGTAACCAAGGGTATTTAAATAAAAGATGCTGAAACAAGTAACTTACTATTTCTGTCTTAGAGTTACAGTACTAGCTCTGGTTACATTTTGAAATATGATCTTCAGTGTCAAGGCATAGAGGTCTCTCTTAACCCCTTCTAATACTTAACCTTACCCTTACCTGGACCCTTCACATCTTCACACGTAAATTATATGCTGCTGTCAGTGAAGCTGGGGAGGATTTTGCTTTACTTTCTGTCATGGGGATATAACAGGAAGTAAGAGGAAGTCTCTACGACAGGGGGAAAAAAATCCAATTTTAGACAGTTGTCATCGCAACAAGTGTCCCCATTTAAAGAGTTCCTTTATTCTTTTGTGCAGGTGACAACTGTAACATATTGAATCCCACAGACACAGACAACAATAAAACTGTGACAGGGGTTCCAACCCTTCCCCACTCTTTTAAAATCTAAAAAAAATGGGTATTAGATTAGTCAAATCTAATCCTATAATGCACTATAATCCCTATTGCAACAGTTAACTGCTAAACAACAGTAACCTACCCAACATTAACCGTTCTACTACTAGCTACCACCGTTCTGCAAGGGTTAAGTGCTTGCTGGTGTCCAGGGGGTAAAATAACAAAGATATACTCACCCGAAGCTCCGAGTCGGCCAGCTGTCATAGTGCTCCCTCCAGCCTGTCTCCCCCTCCCTGCAGCATTGTAATCTTCCTTCCCGTCCTCACTTCTATACACTCTGTACAGACGTGATGATTTACATAACCTTAGACCACTGCAGAGGAGGGGGAGAGATGTGGGCATGACCGGTCTAAGAAGAAGCTTTGGGTGAGTCTAACTTTGATTTGTTTTAATCTAGACACAAACAAGCAGTTAACTCTCTGCTCATCACTGCATTCCATGCACATTTACCTGTGTTTTGTCTCTTTAAAATGTTGCAAGTGCAGAAAAATACCTGTTGATCTGCCAGATATTAAGTGAGCCTCCAATGTCCTCTGCACTCTGCTGTACTGAAGTAGCAAGTAGTGTTATAGGCCCTGCCCACTTCTGCTATTGGACTACAAAGCACCTTCCCCTCTTCTCATCCCAATAACATATAGGGGATGAGGGTGGGTTTTTTTTGTTTTCCAAGGAGAAAAAAATAACTTTTGTTTTTAAATGCATGTGTGTACTACATTTCTTTTTTTTAATTATGCCCAGACATACTTTAAATTTTGTCTCAAGTGGTCATTCATAGATACATCTTCTTTTAGGAAATGCTGGGTGGTTGGAGGATAGAAAAGGCAGCACCCTTATAACTTGCTACAAATTCTAAATCTCTGTAGTAGATGAGATTGAGGAAATGCTTTACCCTGCCTTGAGCAGACATATCACATCATTTAGACTGTGCAATGCAGGATAAAACAACAGGCTGACTTTACTCCCTCTCCCCAGCAACACATAACCACCTGCCCTTACTGCTCGACACTCCATAATGGCTGCCAGGAGAAGTTGCCCGGTGCTTAGTGATTAGCCCAACGCTATCACATGGAATGGGTGACATGCTCCTCCATTCCTGGAAGCATTGGGTATTTTCCCCGCTCCTGACAACTGTATGGAGCAGCAGTGGAACAAATAAAAGATGAGTATGAGTTCCTAGTGAGGGGGCAAAGCACAAGTTTGGCTTTTGAGCTGAACTTCACTGTAAATTTTAGATGTGTAGTCCCAATCTTGCTGAATTCCTTTTTCACCAAACATGTTTGAAATTGCTTGTGTTAAATTGTTTTCTTTTATTTTCTAATTTGCACACATAAAATCAATCTATATTCCCCTCAGAAACATATTCTGAATGAGGATCAATGCTGCCATTGCTGTCATACAATGTTGGGTCACTAATGCGCAGGCTTTTCTTATATTTCAGGGAAGATCTGGTTGACGTTAATGATCCTCCTCAGACTAGCTATGGTTGTCCTTGCTGGTTACCCGCTCTACCAGGATGAACAGGAACGCTTTATCTGCAATACATTGCAGCCTGGGTGCTCCAATGTGTGTTATGATATCTTCTCCCCAATGTCCCACATGCGATACTGGCTGATTCAGACTCTGATGATCTTTATACCCTACGCCTTGTATAGCGTCCATGTCATACACAAAGTTCTGGCTTATATGGCCAATGCAAATGACCATTGCAGAAAAAGTACCTCCTCCACTTATCATGGAGTGGGCTTACAAATGGAAATACTTGATTTTTCTTGGGCTTATCTTGTTCATGTCCTGCTAAGGATTTGTCTAGAGGTTGGCTTTGGTGTTGGTCAGTATTTTCTTTATGGAATTTTTGTTCCAAGCAGATTCAGCTGTTCGCAGTCTCCCTGCACCAGCAACGTTGACTGCTACATCTCAAGACCCACTGAAAAGTCGCTTGTGATGATCTTTGTCTGGGGAACTGGAATCATCTCTCTGATTCTGAGCTTGATGGATCTAACTGGAGTCTGTCACCGAAGACGAAGATCAGAGAAGCTTAAACGACAGCTTCTTCTCCTGGAAAATGATTCTCTAAAAGGGGCTTGTTGCTCAGACACTCCTCCACATACAAAGTTAGCTGTCACACCAGATCAGATGACTATGTATCCTGACTGTCCTTCACACAGCCTAGAGAAAAAGGAGGAACAAATTAAAGGTGATTCTCATTCTCTGCCATCATTTGAAGGTGAAACAGCTTCTTTCCAAACTGACAATTCTCACCAGGACATGGGAAAGTCCAATGTAAATTCCAACAGCAACAAAACCTGTTCGTGGCAAGTAACTATGTCTGGAAATAACACACTAGGGAATGAACATCAACTGCTCACCCACCGGCAACCAAAGTCCAAAAAGGAGATTTGTACTGCAGCTAGTATGGCGGATTCACCTCAACTAGAAAAAAATGTTAGTTCAAAAAACAAAAAATCGGAGTGGGTCTAAAATAGGTAATGGCCATGTTAAAGTTTCTATAAGTGTTATCTCCATTGCATCACAGAACATAAAAGGCAGGATATTTCGGTGATGTACATCAGAACAGGTATCATACCAACTGTAATGCTGCTCAGCTTTCCAGATGGTGATATTATAGTCAGTGGTAAAATCTAACCACTATGACCTTGGTCCAAGACGTCTCATTTTAGTGTCTTAGGTTGATTCATGGCATAGCTGAGGGTGGCTAGGAATTAAAGTGCAACAGCTAACTGCTAAAGACTAGATAAGTACTTATTTATAGTATTTGCTAATAGGTTTTAACTTTTTAGTGATGCCTACAGCAGTGGCCATTGAATTTTAACATTTTAAACAAAGGCATGTTTTTTTCTTTTACACACAGCTATTTAATTTACTATTGCCATAGTGTGTTTATCTCTTCTTTTTCTAATAAATGCTGTATAAATGTATTTTTTCTTTCTATCTTTTGCAATCTTAAACTGGCAACAAACATTTTTTGTTAGGTATTCCAATACTCTGCTACAGTTGTTGACGTATTTCATGGTTTGAAATGCTTATTTTCACATATGCCCAGGAATTTAATACAATAATGCAGAGCATTATGCAAACCTTGTACAAAAATAATTGAAGATAATCATTAGACATGTGAGATTCGTTTCGGAAAGATTCATTATTCGGACGAATTTTTGGAAATTTGGAGATTCGGATATATGCAAATTTCCGAATGACAGAAATGGCGAATGCAAACAAATCCAAATTTGCGAGACCTAAATTCGTTAGCTAACGAATTCCGTTTGAATCCAGAAAAACAAATTGACTTTTGGACCCGAATCCCAAAAAACAAAATAACGCAAAATCTGGATGAAAACGAAACAAATGTTTTGCCGGTGCACATGTCTAATAATCATACTCAATTATTAATAAAAGCTCAAAGGAAGCTAAATGTTTTCATTAAAAAAAAATCTGTAGATAATCAATAACTAGTGAAAAGAAAGCGCATTGTCAAGCTGGACTTCATTCTTTCCCCTCTCTGAACTACATTTCCCATATATTCTTTTACAGAGTCATCTAGAGTCAGAGTTCTTGTAATATAATCAATGGATTAACCTGAGCAGAATATAGAGATTTCACTTCAGACAGAGGAAACTGGAAACTCATTGCACAGCAATGCCTTGGTGTCACCAGGAGAAGAAGGAAGGCGGAGTCTTCTCAACAGATTACAGGCAGCAATAAAAACTTGAGAGAGGCTATAAACATTCTATCCCAGGCTAAAGAGTGCACAAGTGTTATGTAGCCCAACAATTATAATAAAATTAATAATAATAATCATCATCAACACTTTAAAGTTGTAATGTATTACAATGTGAATTTTTTTGTAATGTTTGGACATTTCTTTTTTTAGTTTTTCAATGATGGTTTCAGTTAGGCCCCTTTCACACGGGCTGATCAGGAGGAGAACCATGCACGGATCCTCTCCTGATCTCAGCAGTACGGAGTGGATGTTACCGCTGTGACATCCGTGTCCGTACATTTGTCGGTCTATGGGGAATCTGATGTAAACGGACATGTGTTACCCCCAGATTGGCACGTCCAGTCCGGCGAAACAAATCTCTGATTCGTCTGTTTCTCCGGACTCGGCCAGAGGCGGGGGTAACTGGGTGTAAACGCATGCTCATCTGTTTACACATGGCTACCCATAGACTTGCATTGGGCATCCGATTGGGTCAGCCGGAAAAACTTACAGGCAGACACGATCGGAGCAGCCGTATAATAATAGGGGCCTTAAAGTTACAGATCACAATTAATATGCCTTTTTTTAACAGTGTTATTGTCATTATTTTTTTAATGTTGTGATTGATGGTGTTTTGTCCTAGCAGATATATTGAGGATTGACAAATTAAAAATACATAACATAAATGTTATTCACTAAATTTGTTTCTGTATTATTGAGACTTAAATAAAACTAAAACAAAATGGTGCTACTATGCATCTGGAGTCATATTATTTTACTTAGGTTTCATTCAGCTAAAAGTTATTTAATGTGTGGATTTCATATTTAACTACCTCCTGGCCAGCCTCTGTGGATGTAACTGGGCGTGTATACACGTCCTGTTAGTCCCCCCCACTCATGCGCGCCGCGCGCGAGCGGGAAAGACATTGCAATAAAGTTAAGTGAAAAAAAAAATAGGAAAAAAATTTAAAGTTTCCCCAAAAATCTTTTTTAAGTTACACATAAAAAAGAATACATTTTTTTTAAAGTCCCCACCCCTACATACACGCATGTAAACATGAAACGATGATTGCGTCCATTACGCCACACATGTTACATATCGCCGCAAACGTCGTGAGAGCAATAATTTTAGGGCCATCAATCACTGATAACACTAAACTGATGAGCGGTAAAAGCTTTTAAAGCGTTGTATGCTAGTTTTTTGCGATTTCGCAAGTGCGTGCAATTTTTAAGCTTGACATGTTTGGTGTCTATTTACCCGACGTGACCCCGTCTTTTATATTTTACCAAAAAAAGTGGGTAATATTAGTTGTTTTATAACATAATGTAAAAAAAATGTTTTTTTATATAACATAATGTTTCAAAATTTTCAGTAATTCCTCCTGAATATAGTGAAAAATAAAACCCCCAGTGGTGATTAAATAACACCAAAAGAAAGCTCTAAAAATGGTATGAAATTCATTTCAGTACAGCGTTGCATGACGAAATAAATGTCAGTCAAAGTACCGCAGCGCTGATTACTGAAAAATGGCCTGGCCAGGAAGGGGGTCTAAACACCTGGTCTTCAAGCGGTTAATAAGCTTCTGTGTCATATTTTTCATGAGCATATTTCATATAGAGATTATCTATACTGTGTACTCACATGTTACTTAATGACTGCGTAGTGCGCACACTCTCAAAAGTCTTCTTTTCTACAAAGTATGCAAAATATACATACTGCCATCATACCTTTGCATGCCCCCCACCTCCAAGCACTTACCTTTTGTCTGTGTTCACCGTTGTCGGCTCCAAGATGGTCTGTGCTGCTTCGCCGAATTTCCAGGTTGTAGAGGAGGGATCCCAAGGGAAGTGAGGGATAGGTAGCGATAAGCTGCTGCAGCTGCCTGTCACATTGCTGTGAGAAGGCGGGAGCAGGCGCGTGGCTTGTCCAGTGCTTTGTGTTTCGGTAGATGCATACAGCTCAGGTCGGGCCGGGACCATTCACATGTGGTTGTTTCCTTTGCAACCTGATAGGCAAAGGAGACACCTGTAAATAGCAGGGGAGGGGCTGCTGAATGAAACCTGGAAAAAGTACATGAAATGGGGGAATTTAAAACAAAGAAAAAAAAGGTGATACACAAATAAGATACATTTTTGTTAAAGGAGAACTATGAGGTGAGTGATTTCCACTCATCCTCATAGTTAGAGCCAATCTGTGACAAAGAAGCTGTCACAGGTTGGCTCTATCAATTGGAAAGTGAGCAGAAACATGCACCAATCTGCTCACTTCTAGATCGTCTCCCTGCAGTGAACGGTGACTGCACCGGTGATAGTCACCGGTGATAGTCACCACTTCCCGCAGTGATTCCCCCCTTCCCTCTCTGATCCTTCAGCACTGAGTGGAGGAACGAGCGTGGGAGGGCGCAGGCACAGCTAGCTCTGCCTCTAGATAGGCAGAGGCAGGTGTCACTCACACAGCTGGGTAGATCTCGACAGTATTGTTGGGATCCGAACCGGCTGTGGCACTCTCAGTATATGGTGGGCAATAGCCCACCATATACTGAGCTTTGGGTCATGGGAGGATGCTAGTATATGTCCTCCCGTGACCCTAAATAGAACTATGGGGAAAACATTTACCCCATAGTTCTCTTTTAAATATTAAGGTACTTGAATGTATTGTTAAGACTTAACTCCTGAGTTTAGTGTCACTTTATACAGTTATACAAATCCAATATGTAATTCAATCCAACAGTGTCCACTAACCATCATTATAAATGTCAGATTTGGTGGACTTGCACCTATCATCTGGTGAAGATCAACCCAGTTTGCTGGCTCTTTGATGCAACCTATTTCTCCACAGTTACAACACACATTATTTTCTATGCCAGACAGTAAGGCGGGTTATGATGAGTGCCCTTTGGCACCTTCTCAACACCAACTATTACATCTTCTTTAAGGCCTCGGGGTTAAGACATAAGTAACATGCACTAAAGGTTTGGAATGATAAGCATGCTTTTGATCAAGAGATCCTGAGAATACAGTCATTGTGGAGTTCCCTGCCTATGAAGACAACAGAAGAAACATGAAAAACATACACTTGGAATGCTCTTGACAGTATTGAGTTCACTTTACTGCAGGCTTCGCAGTTGAAGATTTACTGCACCTATTCCCATAATGTCCAGTGTATGTTCTAAAATTATAGACCATCAAGCATGACTACTTTCTGCATGCTGTAACTGTCATGCAGCCAGCACCTTGGACTCTGTATTTGCAACTGGTAGGACAAAAGTCAGAGAGTAGCGCACCCGACCGCAGTGTAGTTAATAAATAAGGATTTATTAAATAAAAAGTGCAGTATTATACTCACAAACAATTGGGAAGCAATACAAGACTTCCTACACATTTTTTTTTTAATAAACCTGTATTAATTAACTAATCTATGGTTGGTTGTGGTGCCCTGTCACGTTTGTCTGCACAGTTTAATTGATGTACCCACTTCCATTTCTTTGAACTGGTTGCCACACTTACTGCTACATTGTATAGTTGCTTCTTTGAGGCTACCTTTGCTACATTTGAACATATACCGATTTGTGATGGTTCACTTGAACGTAAAGCTTTTTTCAGACTAGCAGTGGTGAGAGGTTACAACCACTGACAGGTTTTTATTGCTATGTGCCCATTAGGGAGATTCACTTTCTCTAATTGTCCTGATCACCATTGTCATCAGGATTGACAGTTAGGTAAATCCTAAATTCCCACCAGAACAGGAACGGAGGAAAAA